CACTTTTCAGTGCATCTCTATTAAATTGGATACTCTTGTTTATTTGATGGATTTGAGGTTTTGCTTTCGTGAAGTGGTAACAGCCGGTAACAAAGCTCCCAGCAGATGCTGAAGGGGTTAAGCCTATGACAAGCATCACCAAAAATCCCCACCAGGATCTGGACTTTTTTGCTGTTGCTTTTCTCCAACTTTCTCCATCACTCTTAGAGAAGGCAGCTGTCTTTGGGATTCATTCCCAAATCAAGCTGGCTTTGTAAGCACTTCCATTATTGATTTTCATTGCACAATTAATCATAATTTTCAATGCTTCAAAAAGGCTTAGACATTCATACAAATAAAAATAAAGCATCAGCAGTTAGACTAAAAAACATAAGGGCAATCAATCCACATGCTTCAGGGTACAGTCTGATCACCAGATGGACTCAGAAGGAAATATCCCCCCACAGTGTAGTAAAGTATAATTAGGTGCATGATGAGGATTTTACACCTTCTTGTAAATCATCTATCCTAGCTAGAAATCATCTCTTCTGGCCTTAGGAAGGGGTCAGCAAGCAGTATGGCTGGCTGCTGTGTGCTCTTGTACAGGTGAAGATACGGTTCTACTTCCTCCAGAGCTGGAACTGAACTAAAAGCCCAACCTGACATCACTCATCCTTCTAAGTGCAGCTTAATTCTGTTGTGAGCCTAATCACAAACTTCAGGTCCTGGTGTTCATTGCTGCTTAACCGACCAGCAGCTTTGATCTGGCTTCTGTTTGGAAAATAGGACCCAGTCTGGCAGACGGCTGCAAAAAGTACATGAGCAGCACTGGTCCTACAGCAACTATTCAGCTACTGCTGCTTTCAGCTCGATGGAGAAATGGATACTTGTACCTCTGATCTTGAAAACCCATGTGCTGAGTTGTTAAAGTGACTCTCCAGCTCTCTATCTTCTGCTACTTCTGGCATCCTCCTCCATTATCTGAAGAACAGTCTTGACAAGAATTTGGGAGCATTTTTCTTCAGGCTGCTCAGCCACATAAGTCCAGTGCTTTTCAGGCAAGCGAATAGGGCAAGCAGCAGAGATTAGCACCACCACTGAATGCCCAGCTCTCATTGCATGCTGTGTTGAGCAACACTGGAGTTAAAATTTATCTACAAACCTAAGAAGCAGTTCATTAAGTAGGATATGAAACAGAGGAGCTCTGTGTAAGGTGACATCTGTGGACTTTGTACAGCTTAGTGTGAGAAAACTCTGAATTAACACCAGCATCACTTAAAAATGTTCTCATTTTGTTTATAATTTTTGTTAGTCAGCACTCAGTGTCAGTTCTCTTCTGCCATCAGGAAAACTGTGTCATTCTCCTGACAATTCATTTACTGCTCTGAAAGCAACACACAGCTTTTAGTATTCACTGAGTAAAATGACTATATTTTTTTAAGCACCGTATTTCATTGAACCTTATTTACTTTTTGTGCCCTTATAACATTTTAAAGGCAACAGTGCTTCATAGGAAACCTAATTTGTTCCGAGGATGCAAACTACTATTACTGATTCATGATAAATTGTCCAAAGCTGAGAAAGGTCAGAATTCACACAGGCCATGTGTTCACGGGTAATGTTATGTCTTAAATTTGTGAAAAGAGCAGAATTCTACATAACCAGTCATGCATAGGTACACTCAACTCCTTCAGGACAGGCACTCATTTAGTGCATTTGTTAAGGATCTAAAGAAATACAGCAATGAAAATCTGTAAATGCACAAAGCATGGAGAGAAACCCCACACATCCACTCGGGAAATCTCCTAGCAGGTGAGTGACAGGCATGGTGCTGCTTTGATTTCTGCAGGCAGAAAAGCAATGTCCTGTTGCCAAGCACCTTTGGCAGCCTATGAAGTTGTCCTGGTTCTTCACTGCAGTTAAGCAAACAGATACCTCAGAGCATGTGTTGGTTTGCCACTAAGTTGGGGACGTATCTTCTGGCCAGTCCCTGAGCAATGTGCCCTCCCTTGATTTCGCAGCCCTGGAGCAGAACACCCTGCATGTCTGAGAGGTAGTGGATGAACCTTAGGAACATCAACCTCTACATGCCTTCTCCTCAAGACCTGTGTTTGCTTGCATGCTAGTGAAACTGTCCTGTGGTTAAGTAACATGACAGTGAAAGGCTCAATCAGCCACAGCAGTGAAAAGCAATAGAGATCTCTGAGGAGGGATGCAGGTCCTGCCCTACCTCCACTGCTTGCTGTGTTGTCAAATCACATTTGACATAAGGGAAATGTGGCCTCAGTGTCCCATAATGCTTCTAAAACCCACATGGGATAATGCTGCCCATGTCGTGATCAGACCTTGCAAAATATCTCTAGTAACTTTCCAACTTTGCTGTTGGAGTCAGATTCTAGAAATATAGGTTCTGCTAATTTTAGAGGTTGTGAACTGTACTAATGGGACCTGGACTGTCAAAATGCCTCCTTGGCTTGTCAAGCTTTAGAACATGTGGAAACAACCTACTAATACAGGTTCAGCCACTGCCTGCCAGCACTCACCCAGGGACAAGAAGTCTGTTTCCTCCCAGGTTAACCCATAATTTTCTAGCACACGTAGCATGTGATTTTTATATTTGAGAATAACGTGAGGGAGAAATGCCAGAACCACAGAAATTTAGACATAGTCCAGATTTTCCCCTCCTGGTGGTTTCACAGGCTGTAAAATTGTTTCCTGAATGAAATGACAGAGGTTGGTGACATTGGCCATATATGTAAATGATCACAGTGTCCTACAGAGATTAATTGGTTCATGAATAAAGATGAGGAGCCGAGGTGTGCAGGGACAAATCATTTATCAATTATATGCCTTGGAAGACTGAAAGATGATGCAGCCTTAACGGCTGAATGGGTTTGAAAGGGAGACTTGTAAATTGAGTTCTAATTCTGTTCTGCTGCATTCATAATAAAGAGCTGTTACACTAATTGCATCTTTGTGCGGTTCATGAGCAACAGCACTCAGTTGCCTCACACAGTAAGCAACAGAGATCAGAGTTTAGTTAGATTTTAGTCATCTTTTGCTTTATTTGGGAGGGATGCTAACTGGTTACCTTTGGCCTCATCAGTAATGATAACACACAAAAAAGAGGCAAGGGCCTATAAATGGTTTTCAGATTATTTTGCTTTTGAATCTGAATTTAAAGAAGCAAGAAGGACAGCACAGACTCACTTTGGCTTCTGTGTTCTGCTTCAGTCCCATGGATGCATCAGCATGATTACCCATCCCTGAAAGGACTCCCTGATCAGCTGGAAACAAGAGGATTCTGGAGGATCAAAACAATAACAGACCATTCTAATCCCAAACAAGGAAAAGGATCTGAGGGATGTGACTGCTGATAACAGCTGACCTCCCCTCCTTCTGCCCCTTCTGTATGCTTGTTAACAGGTTTACTATTACAAAGAGACAGCAGCAACCTAGCATGTGCTTTAGCACACGCTGAAATACAGACTCAGATCTGAGAATCTTGATGCAGGATGAGACTTGTTATTTAAAATCTTGCTGTTTGAAACTGTGTAAGCCCCAGGATCAAAGAAGATAGCCACATTTAGGTCCTGATTGAGTTTAAGGGAAATCCTGTGACACTTAGTTGCTGAAAACCAAAGAGACTCCACTAATGAGAGTCACTGAGATTACTCAGTGGCAGTGCTCCAACTGCTTGAGACCATCTGGCTGCAGCAGTTCAAGAAGTTTCTGCTTTATATGTTTCACATGACAGCTTTCTGGGCTCTGGTGCTCTTTCACCAGAAAGAGCAGCTGCAGGAGCCCAGAATGACAGTCAGGCACAGCCCAGCATCTCAGCATATGCTGATGTAGAGGGTGCTTGAGCAATGATAGATACTCTGGCTTAGCAGGGACACAGGTGCCTGGCCTTCTGCTGCCACCTTTTTGAGCACTGACATCTTAAGCCACCACAAAAAGATGTGCCAGAGCCTGGTCTGGTATGCTGTGTCCAGAGTACACTGGTGTTACATGTGAATGTGCAGAGGGAGAGGAGAGACAGCATTCAGCCAAAAGAGTGAAAAAATCTCTTTAGAATTGCTTTTCAAGAGCGATTATATTTTAAAAAACAATATAATAATGGCATCAGAAGGCTACATATACTGCCAGTCCTAATTCCCAGATGCATAATTTCAACCAAGAAGTCAAGAGAATACTTTGTTTATTATCTGCTCTGAAAGCTAAGACCTGCTCATCCTTTTTAAATAAAAGCCTATGCATTTCCCAAAGCTACACTAAAAGTTAACAGAAACCAACACAAATGGAACCGTTTCCCATTACTACAAGGCTTCTGGTCACATCTGTTGTGGTAACACTTGCAAGCACCAGGCCAGCATAGCCCATGGTCTACCCAGTGGAGAAGGAATAATTAATCCCTGTGCAGGAAAACCTTTGAACTCAGACAGAATTTTTGATCAAGCAGCTCTTCACCAGGGAATGCTGACTCAGCAGAAGTGAAAAGTGTTCCTGGAAAGGATCAGTTTTGATGAATTTCCTGACTAGAGAAAAATAAATTTGTTCAAGAAAGGAAGATTTTAAATCTTCTCAAATTCAACTAAAATCTCCCCTTGCAAGAGTTTCTAAATTCAATCTTATTTCCTCCAGGTCTTAAAAAATAGAGCATTGAAATGCAAGTTAGTTTACAATAAAATTATTTTAAAAGCCTTGGAAAAAAATCAAACAACAGTTGAAATTATCAAAATGAAATGGTTTTTTAACTCAATTGTTTTCATAGTTGTCCTTCACAGTCTTTTTTAAGACTTCATTTTTCTTGCCAGAAATACTTCCCAAGTTCTCAGAAAATCTTGAAGGCTATTATTACCTACTGCTGCAGGTAGAGCAAGTAAATCTTAATTTATGGTTTTGCTAGCCTGGAACACTGCATATTGCTTATGACCATAATAAGGACCTGAAGCGTTCAAGCTAAGAGAGGGAGATGGACAGAACCTATGGGATACACTGGAACAAATATAGCCTCCTACCTCCAAGTGAGTCACCCCAGTTCCAGTGGCCATGAATAAGACCAGATGGTTTATTACTCTCTGAGATGTCTACAAGAGGTCACAGATGAATTGCTCCCAAAAAAATGCCCATTTCTCTGCAGTGTCTATATAAGCAGCATGAAATGGCTTGTTCAGGTGCAGTAATCTGCAGTGGGAAGGGCTAATGATAGAGGAGATGATTCTCTCTTCCTAAAGGATGAGACAAGGGAATGTTGACATAAGTCAAAGTACAAATGATAACCCCTAACAGCTGGGTGGAAGCAGGGCAGTTAATGCTTAAATTTGGTGCCTGCATACATTCCCACCCCTTTCTATTATGTTGGTAGTTTTTTAACTGATGTTCTGGCTGGGCACACCTAGAATGCTCCTTTAGCAGCTCACAAGGATTTGGGGGTAATCAGTGTGCATCTGGTTGTTCATTAGAGGAAATCACATCAACACAGTATAAATAGATACAATCAGGAAAGGAAATCTGACCCACTCAAAGACAGAACTGTCATAGAAATTGCCTTTGTGTGTGGAGTGTGCCACAGCACAGATATCTTTGCAATGGGAAATCAGCTCAATTTATGGAGGTGCTTGCTGACCAGGAACCTCATTTTAGGCAACCAGATTCAAACATTTTGGCTTCTGGTGCTGGGGTGGTGGTGCTGGGACGGAGCTAGAGGCTCTAGTGAGTGCAAAGCTACCATTTAGTCACCCAAGGACAATGACCAGAGATGGTGAGGAGGATGGTGACTGCATTGTTTAAATACTAATGGAAAGGTAAAAAAAGGAGGAAGATGACAGATCCAAATAAGCAATGTCCAGCACACACTTGAGTGGGTTTGTGTCCTACTTCGAGTTATGAAAACTCTGAGGCTTTCAGACAAGCAAGAGGCCTGGGGATATACATTTCTTCCTCCTGCCCAGTCACATCTTCCATTTTATTTTTTGTTTATTTTTAGATCTTTCATTCTACATTTACTGTTTATTGTGTTTTAACCTCTGCAGAGCCTTAGCCACCACAAGAAACTGATTTGTCCTTCCCTCAGAATTTCCTCTATTGCCATCAGTTTCCTCAAAGACCCATTTTTCATTTTTTTTGGTATTAAATATTTCCAGTGCATTCCAGAAACCAAAAGCAAGTGGGAAATCAGCAGCTTTCAAACCCCATGGGAACTGTCACTTTACAACAAGTTGGAGAACCCACTGGAAAACTAACCAACATCCAAAAATACCTTACACCTACCATTTGTCCAAAACTTTCTTCTCAGATAGATAGCAGAAAGTGTTCCCTTCTCCCACTTAATTATCACTTTAAGACATGTAGAGATATGATCCTTTTATTTCCTTCAATACCAGCAGCCCAGTTCCATCAGCTTTTCAATCTCTTCTGCTAAACTTATCTCAGTAGATCAAATTTTTCTTCATATCTGTTCATCAGACATTTCCAGAAAAAACAGGGTCTGGATGACCAAGTTTCCTGGTTTTGATCCTATGTTGGCAGATTCCTTTTGCCTGTGTGAGGAAAGAGCATCTGAACCTTTGGTTTAAATATCAACCTTCATGGCAGAGTACTGCCCACTGCCCTTTCTGGGAATGGCCTCTGTACCCTACCAGAACTTTTTGTTTGTTTGAACAACATCTAGAAAAGATCAAAGAGGAACTACAAAATCTAGGAAAGGTGTTAGTGGTATAGCTTCCCATGAGCCTTTTTTTTTCCCCTTTCCCTTTGGTATCTGGTTTTTGCACAGCTCTAGTTTGGGCATTTTCAGTGTTGGTGTATTTCCAGAGACATTAACTCCAGGGTACTCATTGGGGAGCATGAATCACCTCTGCTGTCATCTTAAACTTAGTTGTCTGGCTTCTTAGAACAGATCTGCCCCCCTGAATAAAAATAAAAATAAAAAAAAAAAAAAAAAAAGCCAGGACTGCATTTGAGTTCCAAAGTCCTGATTGCCTGCCTATCTGGAGAACTGGCTCTGATCCAGACAACTCCAGAGCTGTTTTAGAGGATGCTGATGGATGAAATCTAGCCCACATAACCTTAGCTCCAGGGCTTGTTCCCAGGCATTTTTCACTCAGGCATACAACTGTAACCCCACTGTGTGCATATTGATTCACTCTTCAGTCCTCTTCTGGACTGAATTCCCTCTGGCAGAAAGCCATACTGTGTTTCTGGGGACCACTCACCTGAAAAACCTTTTATATCTACAACCGGTTTCATTCCTTCATTCTGCACCTGTACAACACACTCAGCCAAGAGCTAACATCAGGGTGGATCTGACGCTGAAGATGTAGAGTTTCCTCCTCATAAGGCTGCTATTGGGGTGTTTTCTAAACAGTACCATGCCTGGAATTGTTATGTTGGTGCATGGAAGAAGAGGACTTGGACCATGATAATAAGCTGTGTCCTAGTCAAGTCTGGATTTACTGTTCAAGAACAGAACATAGATGGAAATCATCTATTCTGGACATGTCAAATTCATACAGCTTTTGAGCATGTCCTGTCTGGACAACTGTGGATACAGATATGGGAAGCAAATCTTGGGGTATGCAAAAATTAATAATGAGATGAAGAGTCATTTGTACTTTTTCTTTAGAAGCTAACCTAGTATGACATGGAAAATACATGGATGTCAGACCATCACAGAAACATATGTCCCACTTGCTCCTTGTTTTCTCTGCTAGCAAATACCAGCAAAAGAAGATTACCTGCTCAGGATTTTTCTATTTGGATTTAATAATCTCATTCCCACTGCTTTGACCCAGCTTCATGCTTAGCTGTGATGTCTTATAGGAGTGCTGGATGCAGAGCACACTGCTGGACTTCCACAAATATTAGAGGTTCACAAAAGCTTTGTGCTTGGTGTTCTTTCTTATGTCTGTGATTCTAGCCACAATGAAGTAACACAAAGACCGAGATGACAAAGTGACTTGTCAATATGAAAATGTCCAAAATGTATTTTATACTCTCTTACTTGAATGACATCAATACAAGCAGGACCTCCTTAGGGAGCCCTGCCATATTGACTTAGGCACCAGGAGCTTGGAGTTGAGGTGAGAAGCAGCATTAAATTTTAACTACTCTTTAAATAACGTTTTTAAAATCAATAATGTGGGTCCTGAACCCTTTGCTTTCCAATTGCATTTAATTGTGGATACCACGAAGATGAAGTTTTACCTGCTCTTTTTTAGCCTATTTATCTGGATTCAAGAGAAGCATGTCTTCACTCTTCCAAGGTAAATATCTGCTGATTGTGCCGAGCTTTTAGTGTGTGGTGAGAGGGACAGGGAAAGTATTGAGGAAAAATAATTCCAAGTTGCATAAGAAAACATTTGGCAAAGGCTGACATTTATTTATGGCCCTTGTAATTGGATCTGTAGTTCAATTTAACATATAGATGATGGAGGAAATGGAATTATTTTAAGTCTTCTTTGAATCCATAAATCCTGTGTTTTTAATCATATTAAAATTATTCTTTTTGGTCTCAGTGCAAATCATTTCTGTTCATTAAGTGCTTTTGAATGCCAGTAAAGGGAATTCTGAAACTTAATGGGAAAAAATAATTTGCTTCGTTTGCCTTAAAACAAGATTTTAAATGGATTACTTCTCGAAGTAGAAAGGGAAACCATTTCAGAAAGTGCTAACAATCTGTTTTCTTTTCAAAGCAGCTTTTATGATTGTTTTTCCAAGCATAAATCATTTTTGCATAACCATTTGGTATTTGTACAATGTTTCAGAAACACTTTATCCTTACCTATTGGTAAACTTCAGAAATGCCCTGAAACCAAATGCTTTCTTAAAACATGAGCACATATGTCAGAGATGAAGACAGGCAAAATGCTTTTATTTTCTGCACGTACAACATGTTTTAATAGGCAAAACTAAAAGTATAAGTTCTTCATGTGGTGATATTAAGCAAAGTTGAACAACCTATGATTAAATATAACCTGCTCCCAGGACTGAAATACCTACACAAAAGCTAGTGAATTACGTCTCACAGCCCTTCTGTGACTCTGCACCACCTGTGACTGGTGAACACCAGTAAGTTTGTGCCTTAAAAAGAAGACCTTTCACCCCTATGTTGCAATCATATTTTCTTGTGGATTGCTATGGAGGTGTGAGGATTACAGTAGGGGGACACTTAAATATGATTTTAGGTGAATTCACTGTAACAGTATTGTTCTATGCTACTTGAAGGTTCATTTATTTAATGTTTAAATAAAACACTATCTAACCTTTACAGAAGAATATGACATTTCCCATTGGAAAGCATGAGTCTAACCCTCCCAGCCCCAGTTATGAAAATGGCTAAAACAATGAGATTTAAAAGGTGATGCATTCTGACTTTTATTTGAATGCTAGTGTTGGAGGATTTCCCAGGAATGTATTAAAGCTTCCCTTGCAAGGTTATAGTGTGATTACTGCATTTGGACTTCTATAACAAATACTCAACATTGTGAGACTTGTGGAGAAGTTAATAACACTGGAAAGGCACCTACCTCACGTGTAGGAAAAGGGACAAGGCTAGAGGCTGAGAGTCAGCAAGGTGGGAGTAGAGAGCCCACGAAAAGAGATCTGTGCTCCATGCAGATGAACATCTTACATGGTCCAGGAGAACAGGAGAAGATGCTGGCAGCACTCCTCTACTGACACTGCCCATTAGAGCCAGGGTAAGACATTCAGCTGAAGACAATTAGGGAGGCCTCTCTTCTGGAGATGTTAGTCAGAAAGAATATGCAAGGTTTAAACGAAGCCATGTTATGAGGACAGAGAGACACATCCATGCCGATGCCTTGTTTTTGTGGGCCTGTGTAATGTGATGTTGACAGCCTTTCTAGCGACCAGAAACACAATGGAGACGAGGGATGAAGAGCCTGAGATTCTGCAAGAAAGCTGGTACAGATTTATACCTATGTGTGGGATGGTGGCCCCTGGGTGGGATTCATATGACTGTATGGGATTTCTACATAGCTCTGCATGGGAACAAGTCCACTTCACCTCACTGTACAGTTAGAAGAGAAAAATACATGTATTTAGGTGACAGTTCATTCCATGTTTGCACACACACATAGATTAGCTCAGGTTAACCTGACTCCAAAATGCCTGTTCCTTTATTAAGACAGTGCCTAGCTCAGGTGAAGATATCAAATCCATCTAAACTGAACTGTAATGCATCCCACTC